CCCTTCCTTCTTCCCTTTGTCAAACTCTGAAGAAAATGGCTTGATGGTCCACCATTCCACATTTCCATCCACCCACACACACACACTCAGTTTGGGGAGCAGATTGGGTGACAGAAGTGACATTTCCAAGTTCCAGGAAAGGCTTCCAGTTCCATCTTGAATAAAACCCCCCTTCTCTCCCTCCCACTCTGACCTCATCCTTCCACTCTCCTCTCCCTCTCTAAGCCTCAACCATCCAAGACTCCTTTCAGACTCCAGAGCAGCACCAGGGGAAGAAACCTGTTGTCTCCTCATTCCTCAGACACACTAAACCCAGGAATTCTCCTTTGTTTGGTTTCTCAACAGGGACTCTCTAAAATGGATCCAAGACACAGTAGAGGGAGAAAGGGAAGCAACTCAAAACGTTCCTCTTTCACCCAGATCAGAAGTTAAAAACAACAGCCTTGTTAACATTGCAGCCTAATGAGCCTCCTTCTGGGCCTAATTGTCACTATGGCAATGACCCCTAGCAGCCATCTTTAATTAACTCAGAGTCAGAGTCATCAATGAGCTCCTCTAACAAATTGCTTGCCAGCCTAGGCAGTCACGCCACCCCTCCTCGGTCCCCTGGCCTTCGGCATGGGCGATGGGGCAGAAAATTCTCAACCTTGGCTTTTCCCTCTACTTGCTGGTTTTCCCTGGCGTGGCCAGAGGAAGGGCTCAGACCCATTGCCATCAAGTCTACTCCGATTCATGGTGTGTGGTTGGAGTGGAACTGTGTTCAGAAGTAGATCACCAGGTCTTTCTTCAGAGGTGCCTCTGGGTGACTCGAACCTCCAGTCTTCAGCAGCCAAGCACTTTAACCATTTGCACCACTCAGGGACTCCATTAATAATAATAGTAATAATAACAACTACTATGGTAAGTGCTTTATATCCCTTATCTTATTTCATCTTCACAGTAATCCTTGAGTGATGGACTGTTTTTCAAATGAGGAAAACAAGGCACAGAAGGACTTAGCCAGTAAGTGACAGAGCTGGGATTTAAACCTGTCAGGCTGGCTCCTTGCTCTCATAATCCCCTCCACTAAAGATGAAGTTCACAGGATCACCTGCTCTTCTTGAGCACAATAAAGACCTGGAGTTTCCTTCCAGCTGTGTGACCTTGGGCCAGTTACTTCACATCTCTGAGCCTGATTCCTCATCTGTAACAAGAAGGTTGGTCAAAGTTGGGCAGGAGATGGGGCAGGGACCTGAACAGCCTCATCAGTTCTGGTCAATAATGACTCCTTGACTCCACCCCAACCTTCACCCTGGTGTGGTTTCAGAGGCAAGATGGCCTGGAGGTTGAAATATAACAGTTATGATCATCCATGCAACACCCTAACTAATCCCTAGTTAGTGCTCAGTGGATATTAGCTGTTATTATTTTCACTAAGTGAAGATAAATTATCTCAGTTACCCAAACGTGGCGATACTTCTTGGAAAGACCTCTTCCAGGATAACGCTGACAGCCAATAATAATTCATGGAAAAAAGGAAGCAGTGGAGGTGGCCCCACTGCCACCAGTTTTAGGCACCTGTGGGACAACAACGAGTGGCAGATTACAGCTGTGGATCAAAGATGGCAGCCACCATCCTGCCCTGGCTCTGTCTGCTGAACATGCTCACATCAGCCTGATCAGACCAAGGGCTCCAAGTACCAGCCGCCATGCTCATATTCCAGCTAGAAGGAAGCAAGGAGGATGATTGTATCCTTCTAAGGACACTTCCTGGAAGGTGCACAGGATACTCTGCTTACAACCCATTGACCAGAACTTAATCACATGTCCGTAGCTAGCTCCAAGGGAGGTTGGAAATGCAGGCTGCATTTTGGACAGCCATAGGAAAGAAGGAGGCAACGTGTAGGCCCTGCCACAAATCTTCGAATATTTGACACCACCCCAGAGCAACTTATGACCAGGTCTAAATTCTTCAATAGCTCTCCACTGCCCTTAACATCAGCTTCAAATTCATAAGTATAGTTGATAAGGCCCTGCAAGATCTGGCCCTCACTGCTTTCCAACTCCCCCTTCATTTAAGCAGGAGCTCTGGTAGTGTAGTGCCTAAGACGCTTGACTGCTAAACAGCCACTCCTCGGAAGGAAGGTTGGGCAATCTACTTCCATAGTGATACCACCTCGGAAACCCAAGGAGGGGTCGCTATGAGTCGGGTTCTACTCAATGGCACATAACAACAACACCAAATTCATTTAAGCCACACCCAGCCACCAGCCATTGTCTAAATCAGCCATGCCTCATGACTCCATGCCTTTACCCATGCTTGGAATGACATTCTATCTCTTCTCCACTCAGTTAGAACATCGCTTCCTCTATAGCATATTCCAAGACAGAGAGGAAGAGGTGAACATTCAGCACCTGGGCTGCTCAGGGCTTAAGAAAAGCCTAAGCTGTTGTGAATGTGCCTGCCTCACATGTGCCAACACAAAGCAAGTTGGGACTACCTCTTGACCTTTGAGATGGTAAAGGACCATGGATTCCAATTTGTTCTTCCATCCCCATTTGACAGGTAAGGAAACGGAGGCCCAGAGACAGGCAATAAGTTGTCAAAGAGCAGCAGAATTTAGATTCACGATCCACCATCTAATGCTCACAAGGGACTTCCCTGTTGCTAGCCTATAGCTTGTACATACATGTTTATGGAGTGTGGGGTGAGGGACAGTCCTGGGCCAGAAGACCCAGAGACCTGTGGTGGGATAGGCCCAGCAGGGGGCGCTAAATGGCCTCGGTTTGTCAGCAACTTCCCTGGAGGCCCCTATCCCTGCAGTTCCCCAGCGCTTCCAGGAGAGGGCGGAGCTCAGTTCGACATAGGTCACGGAGGCCGAGAAGTGTCCAAGAAGATTCACAAGAATCCATCCCTCTCCCCTACCTGCTTCTCTTCTGAAGGTCCCTGGGCGCCTGAGAGAGCAAGGTTTGCTCCTGCCTCCACCCTTGGCGCTATAGATTAGCCGCACGAACCTCTCCACTAGAAGGTGAACTCGCGGCCATTGTTTCAAACCTGACACTAAGGGAGAGAGGCTGCCTCCGCCGTCAGGATTGCACGGGGATACCTCACGTCCTAGGGCCCTTGCTGATTGTGGTGGGACATAGCTCTCCCACTGAGCCTGTCCCAATCCAATCGCAGTGAGGCCAAAGGATTGCAAAACTTGATTACCTACCGAGGCGTGAATGTCAAAGCATTCCACCAGCAGGGTTTTGAGGTTGGAATGAAGAGGAGAAAAAAAGAGATAATGCTTCTGAAAGAGTGTACCTTGAATAACTTATCCTGACTCATTTAGGTTGTAACCTGGACTTCTGAGACACGTAGGCAGTTGAGGGCTTAGTCCCCCAGTAGGGCATTTACCTGGCTGAAAATGTCGTCTCAGCCCAGTGTTTCACTGCCTTTCGGGGTTCCTTTAATTTGGTCTCCCCTGCAGCTCCTAGTCCATTTTTCTCTTCTTTAGTCTGCCCAGGTATGTTTTACCAGCTAGATTTCCTCCCACCCTCTCTTGGTCCTCTTTCAAATCAGCCCCCCTACACACACACACACACACACACACACACCCTCTCTTCTCAGAAAGGATCTCTCTGTGGCTATATCCTTGGATCAGTTCTCAGTTCATGTCTTACTGGCCTGTCAGCATCTCAGACACTTTTGATCTCTCCTTCCTCCTTAAAGCAGTTCTGCAGTTCCCCCTCCCCACCCTGGCATTCATGGGACACCACTTTCTTCATTCTGCTCCTTCTCAAAGACCCTCCATCCTTATTTTTTTTGCCGGTTTTTCCTCATCTTCATCTTCCTCCTCTCAAAATCAAAGTATTCCAGAGTTCAGCCCCAGAACTCTTTTTTTTTTCTTTCTACACTTACCCCCTAGTGATCTCATTCTATCTTATGGTTTTAAATAAGCTCTATATCCTCAGAAGGAAGGTTGGGCAATCTACTTCCGTAGAGATACTGCCTTGGAAACCCAAGGAGGGGTCGGTACGAGTTAAATTGACTCTACACCATGAGGGTTTTTTGTTTTTGTTTTTGTATATGCTGATACCTCCCTGGTTAATATCTCTGGCCACGACCTCTCTCCTGAAGCCAGATTTATATATCCAGTTGTGCATTGGACCTCTCCCTTTGACTCTCTCATAGGTATTTCAAATTTCACTTCTGCAGAACCAATCTGGTATCCCCATCTCCAAAACTCCTCCCTTCATCTGTCCCAGTGCAAGAAATGGGAATACCATCCTTCAGGAGCTCAAACCAAAACACTTGTGGTCATCCTTAATGCCACTATTTCTCATACTTCACTCTCAATCTCAGCAAATCTTAGCAGCACTATTTAAATAAATAAATAAGCCAATTCTCAACCCTCCATCACTGCCATCCTAGAATGTGTTTAAGTGGGAGAAGTAGGCAGGTGCTAGATCTTTGGGAGGATGGGGAAAGGGGTCTCTAAGCTGTGGCAAAATCTTCAGGTTTTACTCTGAATGCTATAAGAAACCATTAAAAAAAAAAAGCAATTCCCACTCATGGAGCCCCCCAAGTGTTATAGAGTATAGTTTAATAGAGTTTTCAATGGAGTTTAATAGAGTTTTCTTGGCTGTAATCTTTACAAAGGAGATTGTCAGACATTTCTTCCAAGGCGCAGCTGGGTGAGTTTGAAATGGCAACCTTCAGGTCAGTAGTCCAGTGCAAATTGTTTGCGCCACCCAGAACCTTGTGAGAAACCACAAGGAGATGTTTAGCATGATCAGATTCGTCTTTTGAAAGACCACTCTAAGGGCTAGGTGGAGATGGACTGAAGGGGCAAGACTGGAAGCGGCCAGACCAGTTAGGTATCTATTGAAGTTTTGGGGGTGAGATGCTAATAATTTGGATTACGTCACTTCCATGAATAATCTCGCACAACGATGCCCCTGTTGGAGCTCTAGGAGCCAGCACCCCCGTGCAAAAGCGAATGTTTTTGTTTTTGTTTTTGCCTGTGTCGCCGTAGGCGGTGGCCCTCATTCAGCACCACTGGCTGGACAGCGCCAGTCCCGTATATTAGCGGAGCCCAGCGCCTGGGCTGGGAGACCCTTCTGCCGGGATAGAGCCTTGGGGTTCAACTGGCAGCCAGCGCCTCTGCTGAGGCCGGTGGCTCCTCCTCTGGAGGAGGAGGCTTTTAGTTGAATAACTTTGCTTTGGGAACTTTCGTTTGCTACCCTTTAAAATGGAGATAACAGTGCCGCAGTGTTGACTTGCGGTGATGGTTGTGAGCACTGACTACACCTGTGGGAGAGGTTCTGAGAGCGATGCCTTTGAAAATAGTATTCACCATAGACTCCGGACTTTATTTCGGCAAATTTGGAGAAAAATGAAGTCCAATCTGAGGCGGGTTGGGGGAGAGAACTATTTGCAGCTTAACCCCAAGGGCGTGTCCCACGCAAGTCCTGGATGCCTCGCCACTGTGCGTGGCGTCTGTGCTGACAAAACTCAGAAGTAAACTACGTCTCTGATAACTGGACAGCCTGAATTATTCTGATACAGTCCAGATTTTTCCCTGCAATGGCAGAATTTCTCCCAGGTGGGAAGGTAGAGAGCCGGGACTTCCGTTTCTATTTGCCTGGAACGGTCGCGCTAACTGAATCCAGTTTCTCTTGATGCCATTGGAACTGGTTTTATATCTGAGCCGGACCTCCGTACGATTCCTTTTACCGGACCTTGGAGGGCGCTAGCTGGGATCCGAAGAGTGAGAAGCGACGTCGCTGTGCCGGGTCTGAGAAGTCAGGAGGGGCTTGAGATTTTTGTCGTCAAAATGACCTCTGCGTTTCCGGTCTCCAACGCCAGGGCTATTTCTCGACTTGCCTGTGAGAAAGAAAAGGGAGCGGAGAGTCAGATCCTGGCCCTAGAAATACCTTCAAACCAAAGCTTGCGCGTGACCATCCGCGGCTGCACGCCACTCCCCAGCCTTGCAATGGCCGGGCTCTTACCGCTCTCAATCACTGTCCGGGGCCTACGCTGCCTCCCCAATCTGCCGGTGCCCTCTCCTTCCCTTCCCTCCCGGCTGAGGGCTTCTCCTGGGAGCCTCCTTGCGCCAGGAGAAGGCTTGGTCCTTAGGCTCACTTCATCCCTGGAATGGGGCAGAAGGCCAGGCTTCAGCTGGGTTCAGGCTGGTGCCACCCAACCCCAGTATCAACCCTGCCCTCAACGGACAATGAGGCAGACATAGAAGTGGGAAGTGACCTAGGTTTCTTGACCCTTTCAAACCATAGCTCTCCTCTTCTTAGCACTCCACTTTTTATTCACCGCAATGAGGGGAGGGCGGTGTTGCAATGTGGCATTAGGCAAATCACTTTTCACTTCACTGTTCACAGCCTCAGTGTCCCCCACCTGTGGAACGGAAATAAATGGTTCCCTTCACCCAGAAGGTTGTTGTCTGGAGTCACTGAGACAAAAGTAAACCTCTATCACCACCTTGGTGATAAAAGCTTTGTTATTAAAATAAAGGCACTCCCTGGGTGGTGCAAACAGTACACTTGAAAGGTTGGAAGTTTGAGCCCACTAGAGATGACTTGAAAGAAAGGCCTGGTGATCTTCTTCTTGGGGGGAAATAATCAGCCATTGAAAACCCTGTGGAGCACAGCTCTACTCTGACACATACGAGATTGTCATGAGTCCGGAATCCACTGCGTGGCAACTGAACTGGCTGGCCCCTGCCATAAATGGAGGATGCCTGATAGACTTCCAGAACAACTGAAGACTTCCTCCCCTCCAACTAGCCCATTTCTTGGTATCTCTCTAGATCTCTGTGATTTCTACTGGGGAACTGGGCAGACACGTTCACACCCCTTTCACAGATAGGAAAAATGATGCCCAGCAGATGACCTGCCCTGCCCAGGATCCCACTTCTGTTTCCTAGACCCAGACCCTGGAGAGAAAGGGGACTCTGCCCTCAGTCATCTAAGGAGTTCGATTCCCCTCCTCTCTCTGGGGGTGCTAGGACTTCATTTCGGGAACTTCTCCTAAAGGGGCCTATGGAAAAACAGGTGGCTTCTGGGTGGGCTACCTCAGGGAGAAAAGCATTCATCTCTTTGTCCACAAAGAACTCAGCTCCCATCTGTAAAATGAGGAGAAAGAAACACCTCACATGAGTGCAATAATTAAATGAGACAAAAACCCATCCAGAGAGGTTCAATGACCAGGCCATAGTCACAAAGAAATGTGGAGCTCCAGAATTTTAACTCAACTTCTCTCAACCATCTGAGTGCCTGGCAGGGACAACGCTGGGGACAAAGGGGACAGAACCAGCCAGGTTGATGCCACCCAGGCTGCAGCCTCTGGCTTCAACCCAGTACCTTGGGACCCTCCACACACAGGGAATGGTACTGAGGGTGATATTTTAAAATATCTATTTTAAAAATATTAAACGCATGCACACATGCATACATACATATATGTATGTATAAACAAACAAACAAAAAAAAAAAACTCATTGCCGTCGACTTGATTGTACTCATAGCGACCCCTCCTTGGGTTTCTGAGGGGGTGTTTCTATGGAAGTAGATTGCCCAGTCTTCCTTCCACAGAGTGGCTGGTGGGTTTGAACCACCAACCTTCTGATTAGCAGTCAAATGCCTTAGGCACTACATCACCAGAGCTCCTTTATGTGCATACTGTTGTTGTTGTTGTTACGTGCCATCGTGCCATCGAGTCGGCCCCGACTCATAGCGACCCCTCCTTGGGTTTTCGAGGCAGTATCACTACGGAAGTAGGATTGCCCAACCTTCCTTCCGAGGAGTGGCTACTCTTCTCTCAGCTGCCACTCAGCCACCGCAAGGAAGTGTCTGAGAAAAGGTGGCAAAGCTGGAAGAGGAATCTCAAAGGCCAGGTCCCACGTGGTGCCTCCGCCCTGCGCAAGGGAGCCTTGAACTGCTACTGTCTCAAAAGGGCGGTGAGGGGGGGCGGTGCGGAAGGGCGGTGGGGGG